CTAAAAAAAGAAAAGCTTCATTCACAGTTTCACAGGGTTCAGCCCGTCTTTGCTTAGCTTCTCAAGCTCAGGCACGGTGTTACTCATAATGGTTGAGGAACATAGGGAGGAAGAGACCATTCATCTCATGGAGGACAAGAAACAGAGTGAAGACAAAGCAAGGCACCCTTTCCCTAAGGCCTTGCTTCCAGTGATTTAATTCCTCCAACTGAATCCCTAATCCCTCCAACCGAATTCCCAAAGTGGGAGCAAAGGCCTCACAGAAAGGCCACTGGGGAGCAGGGCCTTCCCCTTGGCCATGCAGTGAGCTCTCTGAGAGCCACACCCCAGTGTCTCTATGTTGCATTCCAGCTCTGCCCAAAGGAGAGGGTAAGGTGGTGAAAGAGGAGGTTCAATGGCAGCAACAAGAGGTGCAGCTGCAGGTCGGGTTATGTTTGGTGGTGGATATCTGGAAGACTGGCCACAAGGTAGGAAGCAGGTCACTTCAAGAGGGTCAGAGATTGGAGAAAGGCCCAGGGATGTTGTTCTACCTAAAGACCCAGCAGGCCATGGTTTTGGCCCTGAGAGTTCTCTCTTAGACACATTTTTCTCTTCAAAAAATTCTCATCAGAGTTCCATCAGAGAAAATGTTAAAACATTTTTCCAAAAATGACTGTACTCCATCTACGGAAAGTCATTTTGGGGTCCAGCCTGTTGAAAGCTCAGAAAGCTATTACAGTAAAGACAGCCAGCAGGCTCAGAAATCAGAAAAGGGGGCTAGAAATACAGCCCAAATTGTAATGATTTTTATACAGGAAAATTATAGGAAGGTTTACTTGATCTTGAAGGTCCTAGAGCCCACAGTGTTCATGAGTTAAAGCCTCAACAGAAAGAAACTGTAGTGACGAGAACCTGGAAAAAACTGTTGCGTTCTTTATTCATTTGCATTGTGAGAGATGACTCAATGCACTCTTAAAATTCTCTACTGAGTTGATACTCAGAACTGTGTGTACTGTTTCCAACCCACCAAGGAAATGGTTTTAATTTTATGTTTAAACTGATGCACAAAACCAAAATTTTACATACTACAAGGAACCATGGGATGTTTGAATACCTAATACACCCATTTTAAAATGTAGTTCCTCGAATACTCATCATAATTTCTTCTCCTTCTCCTTCTTCTTCCTCCTCTTCTTCTTCGAGATGAAAACACCTCAAATCCCCTCTTCTACTCCTTGAAATAGATAGTAGATAATTTCTATCTTTGGTCGCCCTGCTTAGTGTGTCCTAGCACCCAAGACTGCCCTATCTACCTGCACTGTAGTTTCCATGCTAGACTCCCAGCCTCTGCTTAGACTCCCAGCATTCTTCTCTCAACTTCTATGAGACCAAGAATTCTATGTCCTATACATGAGTGACGTCATATGGCACTTATCTTTCTATAGTCGACTCATTTTATTTAACTGAATGACTCCAGTCCATCCATGCTGTCATAGTGACATGAGTTCCTTCTTTTATGCCTGTATAGTGCTCCACTGTGTATACACGCCACATCTTATTTGTGGTTGGACACTTCCACTGTTTTTGTTTCTTGGCTATTGTGAATAGAGCCACAGTAAATGTGGGTGTGGTGGTATCTCTTCAGCACCGTAACTTTGCTTCTTTTGAACACATAGTGGGAAGATTACTGGACCATAGAGCAGTTCCACTTTCTTATTTTTGAAGGCACCCCTGGATTGTTTCCCACAATGGCCGCATTGATGTGCACTTTCACCAAGAATATACAAGTGTTCCCTTTTATCTACTCCTCACCATATACTGGTTATCTTTTAATTTTTTGATAATAATCATTCTTTCCTTAGTTTGCTGCTATCTCAGTGTGCTTCTGTGTTTTGCATTCCTATGGTGGTTGACAGTGTTGGGTATCTTTTCACATACCTGTTGTCTATTTGTATGTTATCTTATGAAGGAAGAATTTGGACATTTGAGTTTACTATCTGTTTTTGGATCGGGTTATTATTACTTGCTGTTGAATTTGGAGTTCCTTGTCTATTCTGAATGTCTATCACCCCATTTCAGATACACAGTTCACAAACACTTTCATCAGTTCTGTAGCGCATGGAATCACTGTGCAAAAGCTTTCCAGTTAGACACAATCTCAATTGCCTTTCTTTTCTTTTGTTTCTTATGCTTTAAGGATCATTTTGGGGGTGGGGGGGGTCTCCTTCCTGAAGTACTTTGTGTTTTCTTCTATAGTTTCACTGTTCCAGGTTTCACATTTTAGTCTTCGGTCCTTTTCAAGTTGACTTTTGTAACTGATGAGAGATGAGAGTCAGGTTTCCTTCTGCACGTGGATATGAATTTTTCCCAGCACCACTTGTTGTAAATGTGTCCTTTTTTCCTGATGTACGCTCTTATGCCCTCCGTGGAAAGGCATGTGGCAGTAGGTACACAGGTAGATCAAGCTCTCCATTCCACCCTGTTGGTCTATTTACCTGTCTTTATGCCAGTAACATGTTGTCTCCACAGCTACAGCTTTTTAACAATAGTAGAGTCAGTTGTGGATAAAATAAAAATTCCCTCTCACATCTTGGTATGAGGCAAAGGTCTTCTCCGTTTAACACCTTGGGCCATCGAAACCTCCTTAAGGAACAGCCATGTTCCTGACAGACACCTCACAGCAGAGAGGGCAGAGAAGATGGATGAATTCTTAAAGATTCATGTGACTCCACCATCTGGCTGCGGCTCCCAAAGTCGACTCCCTCGGGGATCGTGTGGGTGAAGCAGAAGTGCAGCCTCTGTGATGCTCAGGCTGACAGAAGGTGCTCCCCCTTCTACAGCAGGATTCCAGCAAGTGGAGAAAAGGTCGGAAAACAGCGGTGAGCTCAGGAAGCGGGCGGGTGCCCCTTTGCTGGCACCGTGAGGAACACCGCCACATTTGCTGACGGAAAGAAACTCCCTCTAAAGGTGGTTACTACATGCCTTCAAACCCACAGAGAGTATTTTTATAAGTTTGAGCACATCTTGAAAATGGCTCAACAGAGAGGCTGGCAGCACTGGCTGCTGTTTGGGGAACTGTAATAAATAGATACCTCTTGAGAAGCCAGGGAGAAAAGGACATTCAGAGAGCTGGGCCTGTCATTCTCTCTCTCTCTCTCTCTCTCAATGTGTGTGTGTGTGTGTGTGTGTGTGTGTGTGTGTGTGTTTTGGGGGTGTTGGTGGTGTCTGAGGATATTTGATCCCCCCCCAAACAGCCCTCCAGGGAATGGGGAATGGAGCCAGGGCCACAGTCTGGCATCATGAGTCAGTTCCAGGCTGCTTTTGTCACTGGCTGACAACTACCTTTGGTTAGTCAGCCTCTTCCTAAAAGCTACAGAGTGTGGAGGCCAAATTTGCTCTAAATGGAGTCTCACTTCCTCCTGCTTTTGTCAAACGGCCTCATTAATTGCTTGTGTCACACGGTGTCTGTTTGTTATGACAGCACAGAATTCCTTCATTCCAAGGCTAAGCAAACCATTGGCCCAGCAAGCCAAAAGCCAGGGTAGACTGGACCTTTCTCTTTGTAAACCAATGTAATATTAAGTTGCTGTGGTAATCAGGAAGGGTCCCTAGGACAGCCCAAGTTCAACAAACTGGTCTTTCACACTGGAGACAAAAATCTGGGAGACAGTGGGAAACACCAAGGTACCCACCCCCATTCCACCCCCACCCCACTATTTCTCCTATGCCAGAAATGTTGTCTCTCCAGCCAGTTGGCCTCAATGAACAATTCGGAGACACTCCAGCCAGAACTGTGCTCTTCTGTGCCACAGCCGTGGTCTTATTTGTTGCTAAGCCCCCACAGTGCCTAAGGCAAGGGCACCTGGGAATCTGGGTATGCTAGTTAACCAGGAGCAGGAGGTAGGGGTGGGGGGAAGCCCTGAGCTTGACAGTTAGGAAAGCCTGCAGCAGCAAAACTGAGGAGTGGATAGCTCTGGCACACCACAATGACATCAGTTTTTTAGGTTCTTCAGGGGGTGCCCAGGAATGCCTTCACTGCTGCCTCTTGCACTAGGTTTCCCAGGCTATATACCAAACAAGTCAGTCAGGGCCTCAGACTCTTCCAGCATCTGAAAAGCCGGCCTCCTTGGGTGGGAGATTTCTGGGATTTCCACAAAAACATCCAGGCCCCACCGAGCTTCCTTCCAGCGTTCATGGCACCTGGGACTCCTGAAAGCCACACCTCTTCTTCTTTTTGTTTTTACAATAAATTTATTTATTTACTTTACATCCTGATTGCAGGCCCCCTCCTCCCAGTCTGCC